CAACTGACGTAAAAGAAATGTCCTTGCAAGTCAGGGTTGAGGAACATGACAAACCAGCATTTCGTCTTCTGTCGGGGCAGCGTTGTAGTATAGGTCATGAGGCTACTGAATGTCAGCTGATCACCCATCAGTTTGGTTTGGTCTCGTCGCCTTTCTGTGCGAACTATGTACCCAGGAAGACACTTCCTTCGTCGAACAGCACAGAACAACCAAAGAGGTTATTGATGAAAGTTTCCAAGCGGATTATTTAGCTTCTACTGATGGCATCTCTTACGCTATCTCTTTAGTCGACCGATCACTGCATGTTTTTGTCAGAGGTTTCGCGCATAAATAGGGAGATCAGTAATTGTTTACAGGTTGTGCTGTCAATACAGTGAAAGAAGCCGGGCAGTAAGAGAAGCCATTGTGGGGAAGATACCAACGGATCGCACGTTAGCTTTATCTAAAAGATGCCCAAGAGAGGTGGGGTCCAACTTCCGTAGAGGCCAAGCATAGGCTGGACGAATATTTGAGAGAATGGAGACACGGAGTGGCTCACAGTAACTTATCTGGTACAATAATTCTCCTTCGTTTGAATCCGTCGGCGCAAGCCACTGGGGAGAGTTTTGGGATCGCTTGATTTGTACAGTCAGTAACCGTCCACTGGTTCCACCTACATCCAGGGTTGAAGACCCGGTAGCACCCACTTCGGCAAAGTTGTTGCTATTGGGAGACAACTTAGGAGTGTCCGATGGTATAAACAGGAGTTATAAGCTGTCTAAGGGACAAAGACGAGCTAATTATTTCGCAGAAATACTTTGGAAACGATGGCTCAAGGAGTGTGCAGCATTGCTACGGCAGCGGCATAAGTGAACGAATTCTAAGAAAAATATCCAAATGGGTGACTCAGCCGTGATGGCGCCAGACACGGGATAGAAATAAACAACCTTCAGGACTATTACAGCGATCGGTGCGCAGTGAAGATGGGGTAGTTAGAGAAGTAAGATTAAAAAGGGTGAAGGAAACGCTCTTTAGAGGCTTCCGTAAGGTGCCTCTTAGAAGCGTCGGATGAAAAGTGGTTGGCTGGGGATCCCCAGGCGTACTGCCGTAAGTCCTGGGGGCCACGGGGAAGGCTAGTACCCGGAGTTCCTAGGCGTACTGGTGTAAGCCCTGGGAACCAGTTAAGGACATATGTATGCTTGTGTCCGTCTGTCCGATGTGATAAATATCATTGGATGCTAATGGATGTAAGAAGAAACTTAAACTCTTTGGTGGAGGGGTGTTGCATGTGCTTGCATGTTGTTCTTCTGTTCATTTGTTTGGCTTTATTCAGTTTGCTTGTGCAACCATATTGTAACTCTTGTTTTATTTGGCGTCACGATCGTATTTCTTTTTGGGTGGAAATTGCGGTAGCCGTTAAAATTGAAGATTTGTGACTACATTTTATGCATGTATTTTGCTGTAAAGAACAATCTTCACAGGGTCCACTTGCCATTTTAACATACGTCTGTTGTTTGCAATCGAGTGTTTTGGATCTGGTTGGCTTCGCTTTGGGTTTGAGAACTCTGGAGATTCGTATTTTTGTTACGTGCTACTCAGCGGATCCGCTGTAACAAGTATTATGAATACTTTAACAGTGTACCGAGAAATGCAATTACTCTAGGTTTTCCGCTTACAGTCGGGTTGAAGCTAACTTCCTTGGGGCTCAGCGTGTGCGTATTATTTCGTTGGGGGGTGTAGTAGAAAGTTTGTGAATTAAACGGTGCTTAAACTGAAGTGCAATAACTTAAGATATTGCTGCGGAGTAAAGTAAGCATATGTAGACCACTGACGCCGATGTTAGATCACTCGGATCTGGATGCCCAGTACTACCGTCCGACACGTCAGATATACACGTGAGATCAACCATGGAACAAGTTGTTTTTTACCTCCTCGAATGTGGCTCTCAACATATCTTGGGTGCTCCCGATAGACCGGTCCCTATCCATAACTCAATCTTCACCGACTCTCCAATCCTTCACACCAGAAATATCTACGCGCCACACATTTAGTCTAAGGGGGAGTGTCCCGATCAAAGCCGTAAGTTCAGAAACCAAAGAAAATACAGTGAGATCTCTAGTCACTGAATGATACAAGTACCAAGAATCCATAACATCCGCACATCAGCGAGTTTAAACGAAATCAAATAATGACCGCTTATGTCTGAAATTGGCGTGTTTTGCCGGACCTATATTTTGACCAAAAGGTGGTTCTAGCATGGCTAACAGTACACTTTTTCGAAGCAGCTACCTGGGGCCGAGACAAATTGTTCAAGTTAACAAACATCAGGCACCAATTACTTTTATTTCAGATTTGCATATGATTCAGTGCGAAACTATTGGCAAGGAAAGACGGCTTTCTGTGGATAATCCAAATAGAAAAAACAACTCGTTTTGACATCAGCTCACAAGTGGCCACTTCGCTTGTGTCTCATTCATGTGCTCCTGAAGTAAATGGTAGTATACGGAGGTTATCGAAGACATAAAGTAATATGCCACCACCCTCATGACCTGCGTCCTTATGAAATTTCGCGGCAAACCCCATTTCGTAACAAATGCTGTGGAAATTGGTGTTGATGACGTTCAAGGTGCCTGAAGAATGGATCGACTCACCCATACACCTCGCAATTCTGAAGTTATCTCCCTCCTTTTATCAGGCTTTCTCCTCGACAAGCCCTCTTCTTTACGTTATCCGACTCTCGAGATATCAGCCTGACCAGATGCGGATATACAAGTTACGTAGCTTGCTTGCATCCGTTTCTTCTTCGCGTAGTTTTCTCGCAATGACTACTCGATATAACCTTAGTTGAATATGTTTGAGGACGACTGAACAATAAATTCCAGATTCCCCCCTGACGATAGCTGAGGTTCCTCGATAAACAAAAAGGCGGTAAGATAAGGGGTGTATTGCAACGCCAAAAATATATGCGATCACAAGGGTTTATTTACCTTAACAATGGCCCTTTAAGGATTGTCACGGTGCGAACTTGACATACCCAGGGGCCGATCGCAATATGATCGTACTTCTTATGTGCCCACGAATGCGAGACTAGGAAACAATACAATGGTGTAGTTGGATAGAGTGGTATATTTTCGAGGTCGTACCAAGTTACCGATGCGTTCCAACTAACTGGCTACGTATCGATTGCCAGCAGTGCAACGTAACACGACAACGTGCCAAATGACGTGGATGCTTGACCGGGTGCCTTCAGCTTGGAGAGTTCAATAAAGTTATGAAGGTCAGCATCAATGCTGAATCTCGTCGAACCCAAGGTTATTGACTCTGGAGAAGTATGTGACACTGAAGCCTCAGCTATTTCCAAGCCTTTACAGATATGAATCCCATTGATTTTCTTCTCTTTGACCAACCTGATACTTACCCGTCGGTTCACTTGTTTTCTGCAGAAAATTAGGAACAAAACGATCGGCTGAATAAAGCTTCAAGTAAGCCACAAGACTTACCATGAAGATTTTGGTAATCTTATCCCACACAAAAACAGCCTGTTGCCCGGAACACTTTTCGGAAGCTTCCACACGTCGAGTTTACCCTCTTTTCCTCCTAACTAACTATTCCGAAGATGTGCATCTCGGGTGAAGTTCCCGTTTTTATGTACCTGGTGGCTGACTTGACAGGCTTCAGATCACGCGCATGATCTGCTTGAGAGTCTTCGCTCATCGACATTTCAATGCTCCTGAAGACCACCCTAGAATGTGAGTGAACATCCTTCGATCTCGTGCTGACAACCTTAGAAACCTTCCTAATGAATTTCATAGCACTATTTGTCTGAGGGAATTTAACCCAGGTAAACGCAGTCCTTTTTGTCGCTCCACTTAGTATCGTCAATGTCGTTTACCAGTCATAATGGGGGTCACGTATTGCTCATCAAGTCCGTACCATGTAAGATTGACCCATCTTCTAGTGTCTTGATACATGTATTTTCGATAAAACTTACTGATTCATTAAACCACTCCACATTGATCCGATAGTTAGTGGTCGTACATGCTTGTTTCTCATGTCAGCAGACTTTGGACAACTTCCTTTGTCAGGGGCGAGGTAGGGTTACAGAAAAGTTGCACGACTGCGAAGAACTCAAGTTACTGGAACTCTTATACAAGGTTGGAGTAAACCCAAGTCATGTTTTGTGGAACAAACACTCAAATCCATCACACCGAACATCCTCGTTAACCAGAAGGAGTCAGTTGTTTCGACCGCGAACCTAGTGACCACCAACCGTTGTGCCCATAAGTGATGAAAAGATCAAAGTAGGAGTGATAATGAATGTCATTGTAGGGTCAAACTACCAACGGCTGCATAGCAACAGCAATGAACGGCTTCTGACAGTCATCGCACCCGAAAATTTTTGAAAAGTTCAACTTCAAGTGAAAAAACCTGGACAAAGGTGAACCATTCGGATTTTTCCAGAAAAGGCAAACAAAAGAGATTTATTGCAAACCGCCAAGGCACAATCCCTTTCAAAATGTCAGACGCCTCCAAAAACGACCCAAAACCTCAGGGCAGATAAAATCTCAAACGTTGACAGAATCACTTCGGGCCAAAGTTCATTATAAATTCTTTGCCGTGGACCATACATCGAAGGCCTAATTTGTGAAAAGCATAGAAGGATTCGCTCACTTTTCCCAAGGCGCACGCGTCCTGTCAAGTTAAGTCTGCAATTAATGACACGTTAACGCGCTGGGATTGCCATATTCAGCCTATGGATAGCCAAAAACAGGTGAATGAAATGTAAAGTGACTTCTAACCCCTTTGTAGAAATATGCAGTTTGGTATGATACTAAACATGTTGTACGCGTATTTGATATACAGACTGTGTGACAAGTAAAGTGTTGTGGTTAATCATATGACGAACTTATAATAGATCAAAGTATTGGGTCTCAGCCCTTATAAACACCCTGCAATTTAGCCGTATTGAAATCTTGTACGAAGAAACATTCGTTTTAATATCTAAAAGCTGCAAAACGTTATGGAGATTGAGTTGGTGTATTTACAAAATATTGAAATTGTCTAAAAACAATGGTTACAAGAGACATTAATGTCAGATTAAACATCGAAGAACGAGTCAAAGAACGCTTATGCTTTAAGAAGCCCACGATGGCTCAGATGAAAAGACTGGCCATTCCCGCATATCCTTTCGTTGAACCCCTAGTAATTAGAAATGAATTTTTCAGGTTTAATGTGAACAATATAGTCTAAGTTGCAAGAATTTCAAGAATATAGTAAGACTGAATCAGTTCACAAAAGAGCACGAGAAGGGCTTGCTGATAAGGGATCTGATCTTTCAACTAAAGGTGAAAAAATTCGTAGGCTTATGCCTTTTGCGAAGGAGCATCAAGCGAAACGTGTCATGCCTCAGCTTACAGAAAGCCCTCTTTCATCAGAAGTAAACTTTATATCACCTAATATTTTCCTAGCTTGACCTGCCATTAATAATTCCTGACAGAGACAGTGAACTCGGGCGAAATAGTATACTGAGGTCCCATCCGTTTGGACCACATCCTGGTAGGTAAAATTAATTCAACTAAGAACAAAAAAATGAACTCCCATAAATAATGCCAACTTTTTGTTTAGGAATATGTGCAGCCTCCGAGCTGCTGGATGGTGAGTGTTCAGAATATCATTATTTTTTTTTGATAAATATTTATTATATCAAGGTGATTTAACAATGATAATATTTTCCTGATTTTTGCGAGCTGTATTAGTCACATAATCATCTTCAGGTTTTCCTTTGAAGTAATTTTCGGCATAAGAATGAGATCATATTCTTATTCTAATACTCGAGATATAAGGCCAACGACCTGCATTTTTCTTTGCAAATGGTGTTACTATGAGATGTGGTTTTCAGGTTTAAGGACAGTAGGCCAAGTAGCCTGCATTGGTCATTTTAGTATCAATCTCTGTGCGGATCCCATTTTCCCTCCAGAGTGTTCACCGAGACAATAGCTACCACAGTTTCTGGCAATAAGTTACAATAGTTGACCACTCCAAGAGGGAATCTGAGATTCATTCGTAGTCTATTCGACCTTGCCTTTTGAAACTTATTATGGTGACCTCTTGGTAATTTGTCCTGGAAGGAGTATCTAAATTTGCAACCTTGAACCCTGAATATATGCTGTGTCTCTGGGACATGTATACAAGACTTGAGTGTGGTTATTAAATTGATCTCACCTGGTAGTTGTTGTGAATCGTCAAAATTCACCTTACGAGTATCCGGACACTCCAGGTCCAGGTCTTGTAGACTCTGTGGTGTAAACTTAGCATTGAGTTGCAGGGCCGAAAATGTGCTTCTCGTAAACCGCCGTCTATCTGCTGTTCGACTTCATGGATCTATAAGAACTTGGAAGTCTTATAAGACCAACCAATGCCTACCCATAATCTCCACCAATACATCCACTGACTGTATCACGGATAACGCAAAGGATGAGTTTATCATCAATTGTCAAATTTGTTATAAAAAGCAAAACGTTCAGATGAAGTCATAATGGCAGGTGATTTTAACGCTCAAATAAAGAAGCTGAATTAGTCGAAAAGGCATTTTAGGGGTATTTACAGATTCCCATTCTAATGAACTGACAAAAATGGTCTTCCGTTGCGATTTTGTGCTGACAAACACTTATTTCTGACAGGTACTGGCTTTATTCATAAAGAGGGATACTGTTTCACACATCGTTTGTCAATATCAAACCAACGACGGATACAGATCACATTGCTACAAGCCATGGTAGAAGAGGATCGGTGTGGGATTGTCATTATTTCTGGAGTACCTGTTTTTTGTGGACTTTGACCACGCGTTAGCACAGGCACGTGCATGTTTGCACTTTACTTGTCGCAGGACATAGACGACAATAAAGCTTGTCTATGGTTGAGTGGAAGATGAGGACCCCAAGTACGTATTTGGGGAGTTAGGTAAGCATTTATCTGAACATCATAGCAATACCCATCCTTTTTGTCATGTTGTCTGCTGTAGAAACAAAGATGGGGACAGTTAATAACCCGCAGTCGAAGGTTACTAAATGTCATTGCATTTCCGCGACTTCATCCGAAATGATTGATACGAGAAGACTCATCCCAGCTGGTTCTAACCGCGATGACAAGCAAAAGCAACTTCAACTTAGATTGTCCATGAGCTTATGAGCCTATCGCAAACAGTGGCGGGTGGTGAAAGCGAGAGAGATGGAGAAGGCATAAGCATTGGATAAAACCAAGTAACTATTTTAACTTTTTAAAGATACCGGCAAGAAGACAGTTGTTAGTGAAGCCGTCGTGGAGAAGGATGCGACGCTGATAACGACTCAGGACAAATGGCTAGAGCGGAACACTTTAAAGAGCAGTTTAACTGACCCACCGCAAAGCTACAGTTGCCCAACATCTAGCTTGAACCTGAATGAAATGTAGATGTCAGTTCTTCAGCTTTCCCTGAAGTTGAAAAAACTGTGTTGAACGTGAAACGATGAAAAGTAGCAGGGCCTGATAGTTTTAAAGGATGGAGGTGGGAGATCTTCGCTTAATCTGACGAGGGTACTAGGTAGTGTGTGAGGGCTAGAGTTTGATCGGACTGGTCTACTTCACTGGTCATCCCAGTCTATAACAAGGTAGTGAAGTCTCCATGTGGTAACCATAGGGGATTTAGTTTGACTAATATTGACTCCATAGGCATCTGACGCAGCTGTGTGTGGGTGGAAACCTGTCATCAGAACTGATGACAACTAGCTCAGTTTGTCAGGAATACTGGAAGTCGCAGCTTCTATTTAAATTCATTATAGACGTACTAGTGGATATAGTTTTAGATACGTTTGACTTCATATGGATTAGTCTACGTACTCCCTAAAGGTCATCTGGTTAACTTGGAATATTCAGACGATGTTATCCTGCTAGATGAAAATGATGAAAAAATGATCACTTCGAGCAGAAATCTGAGCGTACTTGTCATTTGTTTTGCACATGCGAAGTGTAGGATGGTGCTCCAGGAGTGGTCTGCTGCAAGTAATCATAGTTTAATGGTAGGGAGTGAGGTAGTGGCATGTGTTGACCACTTTTCTTTCTTGGGTTACTGACGAAATTTCAGCACAGATACAGAAGGCCTGTTTGGGATTTCCTTACCTGTGTCATCTATGTCCCTGGCTACAGAGACATCCAACAATCTACCAAAGAATGAGTATAATACGATGCAGCCCTCTCTGTCCTGCTATACGCCAGTGAAGCATGGCCGTTAAAGTTAGAAGACATATAGTGGTTAAAGGTCTTCAGTTACAGGTGTCTGTCTTCTTAGTATTGCTCGCGTTCGCTAGACTCACAATGTGAGCAACATGGGAGTCAAGCAAGGGGCACTAGGCATAACAGGCAAGTTGACTGATGACGTTATGTTCCTACATCAGCTGACATGGCTTGGACATGTAGTGAGCATGCTAAGCCAGTGCTAACTCGACAATGAATGTTAGGAGGCGTTGAATTCGCTTGGAAGAGTGTTTGGAGTGACCACACCAAGACATGGTATCAGTCCATGAAGTCTCCGACTCTTGCTCTGAGATGTGTGGGGAAATGTAGACTACCTGGCTGGGTGAGTGGTTGAAAACTCTTACTGACGTAGCTGAAAAGCGATCACAATGACGCAGACTTATTCACTCTTTGACATCTAAAACTTGAATATTTATACTAAACTAATTTTCAAATTGTTTATTATTTCACCTAACTTTGTGCACTTTGATACCACTGTTTTTCTGTCCACTTGTTTTCTGCATTCTACTGCGATGTGTGGCAACTTGATGGGATGTACCAATATGCATGGTTCTACGTTGATTTTTTCTGTCTGTCTGTCAAGAAAGGAGTAAAGAGATCACCAAGCCAAACACACAAGTCATTGTTGAAGATGGAATACACTGATATAATATCTCCTTTTCTCCTACAATATGATAGTGGGAAAAGATTCGGATATCCAAACCACTTTTCTTAGGGGAGATGCTAAATTCTTATCGCAAACTCAGTACCCACTTTTTAACCCATTCTAGTGTGTCTGCCTCTTTCCTGAAATAAGGACCAGATGCCTTTGTGTAGTATTATAGATTAGGTCTCATATGTGTAGGATAAAGTGTCTTAAATAGTTTTTCTAAAAGCACTTAAACGCCGTACGGAGTGACCATAGCATTCAGAATGACTTGGATACAGATGCGTTGTTGTTTTCAAGTTATGGCTGATAATGACCCTACCTAATGAGTAAGAGTTGGTACAATCTGAGTTTGAAAGTACCAAAAAAAGTTCCAGGTGCTATATACGATCTTGCAGAAAGTTCTACTAGTTCACAAACTAGTGCGTTAAACGACCATGATTTCCGGACTTTTTGGTGATGTCCTTCAAGGTGAACAGTTTTGAAGGTAAGGAATAAGTACGTTAATTTGGCCGGGAGATCATTATTTGAGATAAAGTAGATCAATATGAAGCCATTTATCATCTTATAGTAAGGCAGTGGAAACCAGTTTAGTCAATCGCGTTTTTCTTAGTAGGAGAGGTTGAATTTTTCTTTTATCGTGTTGGTTTCAAAGCTCTAAACCTTCTGGTGAGTCAAATCACTATTTAAAATATGAGCTTACTGTTTCCGTCTTCTAAAAGAGGTCCATATTATGTAGGGTATAAAAAATAAAGTATATCCTCGTCAAGCTCTCTAAGACCCTAGAAGAAGCTATAAGACTCGAAAATCATCGATGTCACTAATATTTTAAGGTTATGGCTATATGTGACACATTTTTGTATTCATTTACTTTATGCAAAAGCAAGTGCTCATGCTAAACGTCATCACATTCAGACCGAATACACATTTCATTTGGGGACAAAAGGGTGTGGTATCACGTTGGCCCCTCTATAATAGACCTCTACTTTTGTCCGATCCTCTTTTGAGTGAATCAGTTGAAAACTTTAACATAATTTCTTCTAAAAACTGATTCCAATACTTTATAGAAATAATGTTCATCCTAGGCCCCTTTATCGTTCTACTTTATCGTCTTAGGTTTTTCAAAGTAGTTTAAAGGGAAAGAGAAGGATGACTAGGCTCAGTCACTTCTTTAGGTTTTGCAGAACGTGATCAGGTTTCATCTCGTCGGTCGGATAAAGAGTAGTGGTTTATCTTCCGAAATGTTTCCATGACGTTTAGATTGACAATCAAGAATGTCATACAAGTAACTGTGCTTTGAGCTTTTTCTGGAATATATGATCCACTTTCAGACGGGAGTGTGTGGATTATACACAGTTCCACAGCTTGGATTTAACCAGAACTGTGTATAAGACAGCGGATATGTTACCACTGGTCGCATCATAAGTTCTACTCACTGCTTAAACAGTCCTAAAACTCTGAAGTGTGAGTCAACTACAGTATGCTAGGACACCTGTCAAAGATTTCAGTCTACTCATTCCAACTTATCTTTGTCATGAATGTATACTTATCGAGGTTCCCGTCTCGTCGTCTAACTTTACAGGGATCGGTCTTATCACATGAGACTCCCGATTGGATATGGAATATTCTGATGGCATTCTCGTGCTAGATAAAGATGCTGACAAGATGCGTAGACTTTTGGACACTCTCAGTGACAACTTGATAATATTTGGAATGCAAA